TTGTCAGCCAGCCAATGCCTCACTCTTTGCTGGATTCATACCTAACAGCAAGGAACAGTGTGGCCCCAACATGGCTCAAATATTCAAACTGGCAGCCACCACTGCAAATGGTACTCGCCTGCAGCAGCCATTTTGTGAGAGTGCTCACGGCATACTCAACATGCCAGCTAGGCTGGCAAATCCGAAAAGGTGGGGATTTGCATTACTCTGGTAACAGTGGGCAACTGTTAGGATTAGGAAATTAGCATCATTATGAACTTAAAATGGTATACATCCAATTATAATTGTCATGACTCCCCCAAAGAATTCCAGGATTTGTAGTTTGGTAAAGGCACAGAGAGTTCTTTTGAGAGCACCACCTCCTTTGCTGAATTATAACTCACAACTTTCCCTGGGGAGAGAAAAAAATGGGAGCATTCAGGTGCTCAGAAGAATAAGCCACAGCGAGCTTTGGGTTTGTGCTTTCCCCTCCCTCTCCAATTCTGGCAGAGCCACAGGGAAAAGTTGGCTGCACACTAGGTTAACCACAGTTGAATACATTGTAAAAACTCTAGACCCTGATTCTTCTTAACTACACGTTGTCAAAACAAGTCAGTTTCATAAACTATGGTTTGATGCTGGCTTGTTTCAACAAGCCATAATTAAAATTAATCATAACTTGTTCAGGTTCAGAAATAACATTCTGCAGTTCATCTAAAGCAAAAACTAGACCTGCCAGATGGCTGCTCGAGTCATATCAGAGCACGGGGCAAGTTATGTCTGCACTCCCCCCCCCACTCTAAGCTCTCGGGGTGGATGATGGCTCAGGGGCAGAGCCCCTTCTCTGCGTCCAGAAGGTCTCGGATCCTGGCCTCCTTGCCTGAAACCTTGCAGAACCCTTGCTATTACTCAGGGTCAACGACATCTGGCTAGAGAGACCAACCATCTCGAACAGTCGTGGGTTCCCATGGAAGAAGGCAAACAAATGTAGTACCTAAACACAATGAACAGAACGCAGCATTCCCTACAATGAATCACTCAGTCCAGATAACCCGGAGGAGTTAATGCATCACCGTCTCCAGCAGGCCTCCTTCGAATCCAACAATGCTTTCAGGAATCCTGCAGCACTGAGTTCCACCGTTCAGCCAAGGCCTGATGGAAAATATTGCCAAAACCAACTGCATGCTAATTCCATTGTATTCTCTGTATGTCTTGCTGTAGGTAGGAGAGTGAGCGTGAACATCTGTTCTCAGTTCATTTTTCCAAACTCTCCATTCTTGTATAAATATCTGTTACTTTCTCTATGCCCTTTGCCATCTCTTTTCTGAGCTAAAGAAAATTAAAGTCTCTTGCAATACCTTTTAGCTCGAGTAACTTTGTTTTAAAAAAAACAATGAAAATGATTTACAACTCAGCAGATTTCCTATGGGAATCTATCAGCCCGAAAGTATTTTAACCTTGCGCTATTTAAAGAGATTGTTTGGTTTGACTGTGTTCTCTGTAGCTCTACAGCCGTCCTGTAAGATCCATGTGATGTTTACTTTCTCCCATTGTTAAGCCTGAAAAATAGTATGTGGTACTTAGAGGTTTGAAAAAGGAAGGGGGAGAGAGAGACACGGCCAAAAAAATAAAATCTGTATTTCTATTCTTAGTCGTTTATGAACAATGTCTCCTACTGGGCATATAATTTCTGAATTGTTTATCCATTTCAATATACCCTGCAATTTGAGTACGGCAAAGTCCACAAGACTATTTTTTAAAACCCAAAATGGTGTCTCTAAAAAATAAAAGCCAGTGAGTACAGATGGAAGGGATCATGGTATATTCAGAACAGATGAAGAGCATTTTAGTGAGAAAAAAATTGTCTATATAATACAACTTATGTTTATGTAAGTTGTAACTTATGCGCTGATCGCCTACGGCAAGCAAGAATCTTCTGCAGGTGACCAGTATCAGCAGTCATCAGCTAAGAAGTTACGAACCTGCTTCACACTGAATCAGGCCTGCGGCCCATGTGGTGTCTCATTGTTGACCTGGACCAGCTGCATCTTTCTAAGGTTTCAGGCACGAGGTTTTTCTTAGCCCTCCCTAGGGATACCAGGGACCAAAACCAAGGCCTTCTGCATGCAAGACACGTGCTCAGGCCCTGGCAGAGAAGAGCTGCTTTCCCCATTTCCAGTCATGAACCAGCTGCCCGCAACAGAGTCATGCGCACTTTCCAATGGGCAAGACCGCTTGCTTGCAATGCACAGATGCGCACCCCAGTTCCAACAACCATCGCTTGAGCTCAAAACATGCTCAGAAACACCTGATTCTGCAATTCTGTGTCCACTTTCTGGAGCTAATATTTGTTCCTGCCTCTGGTGGGAGGATCTCAAGGTTCTAACAGAACACACAGCGGCTCCCATAAGCTGAGAAGCTGCCCATCCTGGCAGAGTTGAAGAGGCAAGGATAGACCACTGTACCCATTCACCCCCTTCCCCGTTTGCCACCCTAAATAGGTACATGGGTCCCCTTCCATGCTAAGCCTAGCCATTTTCTTTCAACCAGGATGATATGTTTTAGAACCCAGTTCATCTGATTCCCAATATGGCCTTTGTAAGAATGTTCTACTTCTTTCTCACCTACGTACCTGTGACCCATAGGTTCATTGTTTAGGCAAGAATTGCACTCCACGCTATTACCCTCACAGATAAGGTCCCTCCTGCTGGCAAGTCTTGCTGGGGAGGGTTTGGCCCCCTGGCATCCTTATGGGTCAAGAGATTTGCGTTCGGGTCATCCGCAGTGTCCAGCCCTCCCCTCAGAGCTCAGCAACTGCAACGGGAACTCTCTCAGTTTGCAGAAGCGGTGCTGCTCGGCAGGTGGAGAAATCAATCCTACAGGGGCAATGATCCATGCTTTGGGAAGCTGGGCCATATACGCCCACCCCCGAGTGGGGAAGCGGGAAATTTCGAAGTGCATGCTTTTCTCTTGACAGATGCCATAGCCATCAGAGTCCAAACATGCAGGCAGGCAAAGGATTGAAACAGATCAGTGCTAGTTTTCATCTCCACCAGCTGTTTGGGAAAGCTAATGGGTCACTCCATGGTTCAAAACCAAGCTACTTCCAAACATCTTGCATTGTAGTTGGTTCCTGGTCAGGAGAAGGCCATGTCTCTCCCAGCTCCTGTGAGCACTGCAGCTCAGTCCAGAGGAACAGGGAAGCCCAAGTGACGGCACATGACGGCAACGTCCTACCTAATCAAAAAGTCCTGGCGCATCGACCCTGTGAGCCATGGGTCCACTACAATCCCAGATACACTGAATTCCCACAGGCACCCCACATTCAGAGCTGTTTTGCTCCCTGCAAGTTTTAATGCAACTTCATCCACCAAGATGCTCGAAGCCACAGAAATAAATAACAAACTCCATCCAGGTTTAGGCTGATTCTAACTTGACACAAGCTTAAGAACTGTTCTGTCTTCTCTACACACACACCAGTCAACGGAACCCCAACTCCCCGCTAGACCTAGCTGTAACTATTTTGCTAGTTTTCATTTCTGGAAGCTGCCAAAGTCACGTTTAAACAGCGCTTGAAGGCTGGGCTGACGTCAGTTTCGCACAGTTTGCTTTGTCAGAGAATCCCCAACCTGGCAAGATCAGACCTGCATTTTTGCCTAAATCCAGCAACCCACCAAAAGTTCCCCAAGAGACCATTAACCTACTTTTGCAACGGATGGGAGAAAAATAAAAATCAGCTGCCTTGAAGACAGAGAGAAACATTCCATTGTTCAGTCCCTTCACTGCTTGCTTTCAATGTTTGAAATCGGCCACGACACACTCGGTCCACTCTGCCAAATGCCCACTTTCAGCTAGCAGCACCCTGGCAGAGTCTCAGATGCAGGACTTATCCAGAGATATTTTCCGCTCGAGACGCCCAAGAGTGACCCTGAACTGATTATAGTAATGCAGCACTAAGGAGCAGCTCTCCGCACATGGTTGAGAGTGCTCTCTACTAAGACATGTGTTCCAGGGAAGCAGCCTTAGCCAGAGAATGTAGGCCCAGTTATTACACAAACGCTAGCTGTACTGGCACTCCTTAGTGCTTAACTGCCAAGCAAATATGCATCGGATTAAGATAAGCCCCTTCTTAAAAGTGTAAACACGACTCCTTTCTGTGAAACAAGTAGCCAGCCAGCTTGATAAAGAAATCAGAACTGGATTCAGGGGGAGGCAGGAGAAACGAAAGGAGCAAGCAGAAAACGAGCAGGGCGAGTGCGAGGAAGTGGCCGGTGGGATTGTGGTGTCGCCCTCAACAACTTGTTTAAAAATAGATTCTGCAAGGACAGGTGTTTCCCCCACCAAGCGGAGAGTAACCAACAGAGCAGCAGGAGCGGCGCACGGGGAGGGCAGTAAAGGGGGCAGGCCCCCAAGGAGAAGAGGGAGCACCGCTTGCAAAAGGTGTGCGCGGGTGGAAAGGCCGCGGTCGTGGTCGCCCCCTTCTCCCAACCCCTCCTCTTCCTCGCCACAATCTCCCAGTATCCAGTTGCTAAGGGACACCTAACTAATCTGTTGCGTAACCAGACCGACTGCAGAAGAAACGAGAGATAGAGAGCGAGCGAGCGCGCGCTGCTGGGGGAGGCGGGGGGGGGGGGAGGCGAGGACACTGAAAAAACCTTGACGCAAACCCGACAGAAAGATGTATCCAGAATTCCCAAGGAAGAAGAGCAGGCGCGGCTTTCTCGTGTCAATAAGACTAGAAACAAGAGGCATCCGAGGGAGGCAGGCGTCCCCCCGCGTGCCCTCGCCTCCATTGCAAACAAAAGACGGCGCGGGGGAAGGGGAAGGCGGGCAGGGGGGGGGGATGCGGGAAGCGAGACTCCCCCGGGCAGCCTTCCTCGACCTGCCGGGCCCTCCCGGGCCGCGGCCACCCGCGCCGCCCCGTGCGGCCGCGGCTGACGGGAGCGGCGCTCCGCGCCCCGGAGGGCCCGCCAGGCTGGGGCTTCCCCCGCGCGCCAGGCAAGCCCGCGCGCGCCCTTTACCGTTCAGCCGGACGGTGAACTGCCGCCGTTTCCGATCGTGCTCCACCTGGATGGGGCAGGCGGGCTCCAGGAGGTTGAGCTGCGCCGCCTGGGCCATGCTGCCGCGGCCGCGGCGGACCCCGTTCCGCGCGGGCCGCTCGCTCCGCTCCTGGCGGCGTGCTCGGCGCGGGCGCTCGGCCGCTTTGTGCGCGCGGGGCGCCCTGCCTGCCTGCCGGCCGGCCGGGGTGCTCGGCGCCTCAGCGCCCCG